GTGCCAGGCCATTATCGAGGCCCATAGATAGTTGCAGAACCTGCAGCAGGAGGATCCCGCCCAGAAAGACGCCCCACGTTCCGTACATCGCGAGCTATTGGCACCGACTGAATCCTGGCCTTTGGGCACCCAGCGAATTTATATTCTCCAGCGGGCGGCACTCCAGATAACTCCGTTTGCCCGGGGCACCTGAGGAGTTGGAGGCGGGGGAATGGCACCTGAAGAGCTGGCAGAAGGTTAGTGGCTAATTGCTATTGCTGTGGAGTACTCCCATCGACTGATTGGTGTTCGCCGGGTGGCGCAAACAGCGGGCTTTCTCGATTGCAGGAGGAGCCGGAGCCCCTTATCACGCCAAGTTCACAGCGATCACAGGGAGCAAACAGCGAGAATCGAGGAGAGACCGAGAACAGGGGCTTCTGATTCTGATATGCTTTTGTTGTTCAATTCAGGCGCTGTTTGCCACCTAAACTGGCCTACAAAGTTGGGGAAATAGGCGGAAGCATGGTGGACTGGGGCATGGGTCTAGTGATGAGAAATCGTATTCACATGCTTTTATCTTTTGATCAGTAAACTAATTTTAATTATTTGTCTATAATTATTTTAATCTAAACAAGAAAAGTCATGTATACTTAAATACTTATTATATCAGTGTAACTATAATGTTTACTGCCTCTTGATTTTTCTTCAAGATTAGGTTATTCATTTTAGAAAATTTAATGCACAACTAGGTTGAAAATATAAGTTTTCCAAATTATTGTATAGAACTCATAGTTCGGTGCTATCTGTTTCTTATATTGTGATTTATTACTTTGATTACTTTTACTCAAAATTAAATTTATATCTGTATATTAGGAAAGGGAGATGTTTATGTTTTCAATAGGTTTTAACTTGTTTTGTAAAACAATTTTTTCTTTTTTTATTTTAAGGATCCTAACATAGTTTCTATTTGAAAGAGCTCACATTTAAAACCGAGCAATCTATGCTCTGCCTTTTGTACCACAAGTATTTTGTACCTTTGGTACTTTCTTACATTTTTTGGTTGGCAGCTCCGAAGAGAACCTACACGGGTACGCAGAACGTAGCTTCTGATAGGAAGTGCACATGTGTTTGGCTGATTTAGCAAAATGCAATTACTGAACTGAGTGCCGCTGCACTCTGGGCTTGTAATTGAATTCTTTTGACCCAAATGTTACCTTATCGCCTTTCTACTTACAGATAGCGTAAGATGACTAATTAAAGCAGGTGTTTTGTTACTGATTTTGTCCTCTACTTGTTTGTGCGATTGATCGCTGACTCCGTTCTTTTGCAGTTTGTTTCACTAGTATTGCTATTTAAGTTGCGCGGATACCTATTGCTATGTACATACGACTAAAATTGGAACTAAAACATGCCACACGACCAGTGTTGCTTGCCGAATTGGCCAGTTAGCTTAAAAACAGCGACCACATGTTTAAGGTGTAAATGGGTGTTTGTTTAGTTTAACATTTTGGAACTACATCGATTTCTTGAAAATGTTAGTAAAATCGCAATGTGTTAGATGTATGTAGATGATTTTTTATATCGTCGTCTGTGTCAAAAAATTACATATAGATTCTTATTTAAAATATATTTCAAATTTAATTTACGCGCTCAATTCTTTATGCTACTGATGGTTTTGGCGTGAAAATAGCTAAGTTGAGCTCAAAATTAGTTGCTTTCCAACACCGACAGCAGCTCCAAACTGCAAGGCAGGGTCACACTGGTTGTTTTTGGCGTGTTATGTTCGTTTGATTGGATTTGTATTTTTAACTTCGATTCGGCTAAACTTTAAGCATGGTATTCCAATTGCCCACAACAACCGCCGCTCCGATCGGAGGTGCATCATCCTTTTCCTTCGGCCTCAGCACGGGAGCACCAGCCGCAGCTCCAGGAGCAGCAGCCACGGTTCCCGCCACAAAACCCACATTCTCGTTCGGACCACCGGCATCTTCTGCTTGTATTGGTGGCGGAGATGCAGACAACAGCAAGACGCAGGCTCCACCGGCCTTTGGATTTGGTCTGGCGTCCGCCACAGCATCAGCTCCCCTCTCGTTGGGCACTCAAGCCGCAAATCCAGTGTCCACCACTTCTGCGACAGCGATTGGAACCTCTGCTGCTCCTCCCGCCTTCGGAGGCTTTATGGCTCAACCGACGGCATCAGTGGTGCCCACCTTAGCCGCCAGTACACCAAACACCGCAGCTAGCACAACTGGACTGCTGGGCGGGACAGGATTGGGAGCACCCAAGAGCACTGCAGCTGCTCCCACAACTCTGACAGCAGCTCCGGCGGCCATAGCTCCCACCCTGGGAGCTGCACCTGCCCCAACCTTAAGTACTGGCGGTGCTTTTGCCAATCTCACTACTGAAACCAAGACCACAGACTCATCGGCGGTTTCCACGGCCTCCCAGTTGTCCTACCACCAACTGGAGGAGCATATCAACAAGTGGACTCTGGAGTTCGAAGAACAGGAAAAGGTATTTACCGAGCAGGCCACTCAGATCAACGCCTGGGACAAGCTGCTCATCAGCAACAGCCAGAAGATCGTGGAGCTCAACGATGCCGTGGAAAAGGTGAAAACCGATCAGCAAGTCCTTGACCAGGAGCTGGAGTTTATAGCCACCCAGCAAAAAGAGCTTGAGGACAGCCTGGCGCCGCTTGAGAAGGAGTTCGTCAATCTACCGAGGGTGGACATGGAACGCAGCCAAACCTACCTGATGGTGGAGAATCTGGACACGCAGCTGAAACAGATGTCCGAGGACCTGAAGGAGATCATTGACAACTTGAACGAGGCCAACAAGGGCCAGGACACTACTGATCCCATCATCCAGATCGGAAAAATCCTTAATGCCCATATGAGTTCGTTGCAGTGGATCGAATCGCAGTCGACGAACATCTGCAAGAAGCTGGACGACATTGGCAAGATTCAAGACTCCCAGAAACGCGATATCTTCCGAGCTCCCTTCTAAAGATTAGTCCCTTAAATTTGTTAACTTAAATAAAGGTTCCATTGTAACTACTTAAATAATACTTGCAGCATATCATTGCGATATTCGTTTTTTATATAAGAATTTATTATAAACATCATACCGCCTTCAATCAATATCCCTTGAAGTACTTAAGCCTAAAGAGCGGCACCTGCTTGCCCTTAGTAGTACAGGCCAGGAAGCTGCTGTGCGGCGAAAAGGCCATGGAGGTCACAGAGCCAACTTTCTCGTTCTGCTCCGGGAAATTAGAGTACACCGTCGCGCTGGGGAAATGGGCCAGTTTAACAGCATTCGGTGCCTCACTGGAGCACATCGCCAGCAGCTCAGATGAGTGATTGAACTGCAGATCCGTGATGGCAGTCCGCAGGTTCATGAAGCGCTTCTCGGGTTGTGGGGTCTTCGATGCGAACACACTCTCGTAGTCGTAGATGTTGACCACGCCCTCTTGGCTGCCTGTGGCTAGAAGGCGTTGGTTGGGAGACAGTTGGATGGACTCTCCATATATACAGCCGTCGTCCATAAAGCTGTGCTCGATGAGGTTCTGGCGCAGATTGAGCACAGTAACATTGCTTGTGGAACCGCAGACGAGGATCCTCTTGGAGTCCCCAGACCAAGCGAATCTCTTCACTTTGCCCTCCTGCTTGAAGCTGTGCAACAGCTCATTTGTTTTGGCCGTGAGCAAGTGAATGGCTCCAAACTTGCCAGCAGTGACGATAAATTGTCCACATGGAGAAACCTCAAAGCGGTGCATAAACGGTATATCGCCCGGCAGCGTACGCTTGGATTCCTTGGCCTCCAACAAGTCGTATGAGTAGTAGAATCGTTTTATGGAACCAAAGTACGCCTTTGTGCCGCAGGGAGCAATCCGGGTGCAGGCCAGTGGGAACTTCTTGAAGCGCATATTGTGCAACTTCTCGTTCTTTTGCCCGTCCACAGCGTAGATGGTGGCTAGGCCGTTCATGCCCGCCACTAGAGCAGCAGTACTGGTTGGATGGAACTGAATGCTGGTGGCATTACCCTCGGAATATGTGGCTCTGTTCAGGTCTTTGACCCGTTTGAAGTTTAGAGTCTTCTGGGGCAGATCACTGCTCCGGGCTTTGCGGTCGATGAAGCCTACTGTCTGCAGCAGCTCTTCGTCGGAGGATGCGTCCTCGTCGTCCTCGTTTTTCGCCTTCTTTTCCGCCCACTTGGGTTGGTTAAGCGTGCGCTGGAATCGTGCCGTAAGGTACTCCTTGTACGATTTATCCTTGCGCAGGTGGTTCAGTGGACCCGTGTGCTTTGTGGCCTTTTTGACATCGCCCACCTGCAGATCCTCGTCATCGGAATCCGACCAGGCGGCTTTCCGCTTGTCTCCTGGCTTTGACTGGCCGGGATTTGCCTCCTGCTCGTCCTCGTCGTCGTTGGGCAACTTCAGCCCCACGGACTTGGCTAGATTAGTTAGCAGTCGCTGTCTGTCGCCAAAGAGCACCTTTTCCATTGGCACCTCCACATAGTTGAGCTCCTTGGCCTGCGAGGCCTTTGGAATATAGCGTTTCCTTTGGATCTTTGCCGGTTTTTCTTCTGCCTGCTCGCCGTACAGCGCCTTCAGACTCTGCAGCTCCTCCAATCCATCGCTGGACTCGTCTGAACTCATTTTGGTCGCTGAAAATGCCCGAAAACTCGTTTATTTACGAACTTTCCTGTGGACTGCACAAAAATTTTACACGTGCAGCTGGGCGGGAAATCCACTAACGCTTTAAAACAAAAATACCACGACACGGAGGATGTATCGATAAGTGTGGCCACATCGATAGCAGATCTGAACAGATATCGGTGTGATGGGCGCCATAACTTGAATTTGTGAAAAATAATATATTTCAACAATTATTATTTGGCAATAGGTAAGCAACTTAAATGATTGTAAACTAACGTTGTTTTCTTGTAAAAAAATATATATTTTGTTAAAAGTTAACTTTATAGATTTGTAGAATCAATGTTTACAACTTTGTTTGAAAATGTTAATTAGCTTCCTCACTTTCAGGCTCTCGCTTCCTTTTGTATTTCGCCGGTACCTGGCAAGTCTTCAAATGACGGTTTAGGAAACCCTCATATTTGTACTTTCTGCCACAGCGATCACAGCTCAACTCGGCTTTTCTCTTGACACACAGCTTCTTCTCCGCCTCCTGGGCCTTCAGCCTGTGGACACAGTCGTCGCAGGCGTATCGACGGGTCACTTGGCCAGGCCTAAAGCAGGCCAAGAACGCCTTGCGACAGAAGAGGCAATCGAAGAGCTTGGTGATGGTGTACGCCCCTTCGTAGGACTCATCCTTGGACTCCCGCGGCTTCAGATGGCTCTCCAAATGCGTGCGATACTCCAGCTCCGTCTCGAACTTTACATGGCAGGATCCGCAGGTGCGATTCATTGAAGGGCTTCCGTGCAGGAGCCTGTGGCTGATCAGCGATGCCACCGAGGAGAAGGTTCCCTTACAAATGCTGCATTGCAGCTGGGGCACGACCGGGCCATTCTTCATCATCCACGCAAAGCGTTTTTCGCAGGCCCCCAGATGAACCTTGTAGGCCCCGCCCGTGCGAATTCCATTGCAGCAAAACGGACAGTGGAAGAGCATAGTGTTGGCCTCCGGAAAAACTTCTGGCTTGCGCTCCACCAGGGCCTCCTTAATCCTCGGCTCCAAGCAGGGGGTTACGTACACCTTGGTCACAACGCCATTCTCCTCCTGCACCGATAGCAGAGTGCCTGGCTCCAGGTCCTCGGAAATCCAGTCGCTAGCACTTGTCATGATGCTTTGTGGGGTCTTGGAGGTGCTTGTGTTTCGCCAGGAAGACGGGTACGTAGAAAGTGAGAAAGTCGCCTGTCATTGTCATTGACAGATGGAAAGTAATGGTCGCTACCCGATACCCGGAAACTGTCAGGGATGGCAAAGAAAGAAAGCTGCTATGCGAAAAGTATGCTTCAAAAATTTTAACTTTTTGAATTTATGTAGGAAATCAAAATTCGAATTCCAACGCTTTTCCCCGCCAATAATTAGCTGTTTCAAATGGATAACGAGTGCTTGCCCGTTGTGTCTTCAACTTTATCGGGGAAAATTTTTCTTCACATGCTTATGGACACAACCTATGAAGTTTTAACCAATTAGGTAAACCAAAACCAAATTTCAGTGACCAAAAATAAAACAAATGCCAGCCATTCTATTAGCAGCTGGAACTCCACATTATATCATATGGACAATACTCAATACATTTTCTGTTCGTTCTAACGATGGTTAGTAATATTTGAATCATTTCTTGAAGAACATATATCAATATCCATAAAACTGGTTATTTAGCTTAGAGACGGTCTCGGCCACTTTGAACTCTAAAATGCAGGAACATGTCTTTCGAGTGCCCGTAATCCCCGCCCAACTTCTGCCATTGTGGTAAGCTCCGGATCCCTGCTTTATGACACGCGTAATGCGAGTCAAAATATGCAATTAAACAAAAACTTCTTGACTGGAAAAATATTTGCATAACTTGGGCAAACAAATGTCGGAGCACGTCGTCCTCGTCACCAGTCGACAATGCTGAGTTGTTGTTGAACTTGTCATTACACACGCACAACCAGGGGAGCACCAGTCATCCAGCCACCCAGCCACCCAACCACCCAACCACCCAACCACCCACTAATTTACCCATCCACTGGGGGTGGTGCTCTCGCCAAAGTGTGGATTAATAGCTGGGGCGGTGCTGCTGCCAGAAATCAGCGCTCGTAAAATTTACGTAAAATTCATTAAGCGCAACAAAAGACGCTGGCTGGTAGGAGGAAAGCAGACCAGGTTGGGCGAAAAATGGGGGCGGCTGCAATCGCTTAGAGACAAAGCCCTGCATAGTTGATAAGGCGCGTCCTTCGCGGGGGGAGGAGGTGGGTGGAGCAGGGGCTGTTTAGTTGGCTGCCCGGGTGGCTTGGCATTTGTGGTGCCCTCGAGTGTCGCCTGCCAAGTCAGGCGTCAAGCCGCACCGAGAGTAACCAATTTTTGTCATATCAAAGGGTCCAGCATTATTGTTGCGCCATCAAGGCGGCGCTACACTAGCAAATAATTTTCTATAAATATTAAACATAATTTTCATTAGTTTTAAACAGCTTGCTGGGCGAATATTCTAAAATGGCAATTGTTTGTACCTCACAAGATTGGCAAATTAAAATATTCGACCAAGACGTACTATGAATCTCTTTCTATTCAAAGGCGCTTAGACCTGTTGATTTGAGATTATTAGAATATGGGAAGTTCAAAATAAACTTTCTATTCTTTAGAAAAATGTTTCCAAGGATTAAAGTTTGTCTGAGAATAGACGCATTTTTTAGGAGTGTTCCCCGCCCATTCTCCGTCTATTTTCAATATCCTTGAGCTCTTGTGCAGCGAGGCGCTGCGATTCAGAGCTCCTTAAGTGGCCCGACATTGTGGCAGATCCTTTGCAGTCGCACTCCCAGCTCCCAACTCCTAGTTCTCAACTCCCGGCTGCCAGATTGCCGCATTCCGCGCCCCGCATCCCGCATCCCGCGTTCCTCCTGCCGACTGACAGATTAGCGTGTTGACATTAAGTTTGTCCTTTGGCAGTGTAGGCTAACATATGGCCTTTAGTTGGCTTTAAGTATCGAGCGCATTCAGCTCCAGCTGCACATGCAAATGCTGATGGAGCCACGCATAACAGCATGTTGCGGTCGTTCCTGGTGGGCGTGGCTCCCGGTCGTCCGCCTCCCTGATCCCCTGCTCCCCTTGCTCCTGCCTTCTATGTGCTATCTTCCAAATGCCGGATGATGGCTCTTGTGGCATGTAATGAGTTTTCCATTGCCCCGCACACGGTGCATCAGGTTTCCTGCACCTACATCACCGCTGATTTGTGCGGTTGATAATTGGGCGCGCGGTAATGTTGGTAATTACCGTCTTTCTGTCCACCGATATCGGGATATTGACGGCCATTGTCAAGGGCGCGTTTTATTTGCGGGACGAAATCCTTTACAACGATACGCTTGGCAAAGCGAATTAAGCCAAATGGGAAATCTGGCTACACAAAAAGTCGTAATACTTTATTGGAAACATTCGAAAAATTAGTTAGCAATGGATATTGGATATAAAATTTCGAATAGCTTTAATTGGGTAGAATATTTGTATGAGATTGTTTTTGTAATTTATAGTAGTAACTAAAGAACATTTATCAAAAGAATATCAAAGAATATCAAAATGAAAATAAAACTTTAAAATTTTTAAAAAGTGTGGGAGTGAGAGTTTTGTGCGATTTGTGGGCGTTAGTATGTGCGGCAACATCATAACATCAAAAAAATAACAAAAAAAATTTTTTTTCTAAACTTGAATGCAGGTTTTTAGAGAATTGCGCCACAAACATTTAGAGGTATGCCACTTGAAAATCCGATTAAGATAAGTTGAGTTATGGAGTTTAGAAGTTCAGCCTTGGGACATTTCTTAGTTTTTTGGATTTCTGCAACATCTAACATCAAAAAAATTACAAAAAAATTTTGAAAAAATAAATTTTTAAATTTGAATGCAGGTTTTTAGAGAATTGCTCCAGAAACATTTAGAGGTATGCCACTTGAAAATCCGATTAAGATAAGTTGAGTTATGCAGTTTAGAAGTTCAGCCTTGGGACATTTCTTAGTTTTTTGGATTTCTGCAACATCTAACATCAAAAAAATTACAAAAAAATGTTGAAAAAATAAATTTTTAAATTTGAATGCAGATTTTTAGAGAGTTGCGCCACAAGCATTTAGAGGTATGCCACTTGAAAATCCGATTAAGATAAGTTGAGTTATGGAGTTTAGAAGTTCAGCCTTGGGACATTTCTTAGTTTTTTGGATTTCTGCAACATCTAACATCAAAAAAATTACAAAAAAATTTTGAAAAAATAAATTTTTAAATTTGAATGCAGGTTTTTAGAGAATTGCTCCAGAAACATTTAGAGGTATGCCACTTGAAAATCCGATTAAGATAAGTTGAGTTATGCAGTTTAGAAGTTCAGCCTTGGGACATTTCTTAGTTTTTTGGATTTCTGCAACATCTAACATCAAAAAAATTACAAAAAAATGTTGAAAAAATAAATTTTTAAATTTGAATGCAGATTTTTAGAGAGTTGCGCCACAAGCATTTAGAGGTATGCCACTTGAAAATCCGATTAAGATAAGTTGAGTTATGGAGTTTAGAAGTTCAGCCTTGGGACATTTCTTAGTTTTTTGGATTTCTGCAACATCTAACATCAAAAAAATTACAAAAAAATTTTGAAAAAAAAAATTTTTTAATTTGAATGCAGGTTTTTAGAGAATTGCTCCAGAAACATTTAGAGGTATGCCACTTGAAAATCCGATTAAGATAAGTTGAGTTATGGAGTTTGGAAGTTCAGCCTTGGGACATTTCTTAGTTTTTTGGATTTCTGCAACATCTAACATCAAAAAAATTACAAAAAAATTTTGAAAAAATAAATTTTTAAATTTGAATGCAGGTTTTTAGAGAATTGCTCCAGAAACATTTAGAGGTATGCCACTTGAAAATCCGATTAAGATAAGTTGAGTTATGGAGTTTAGAAGTTCAGCCTTGGGACATTTCTTAGTTTTTTTGAATTTCTGCAACATCTAACATCAAAAAAATTACAAAAAAATTTTGAAAAAATAAATTTTTAAATTTGAATGCAGATTTTTAGAGAGTTGCGCCAGAAACATTTAGAGACATGCCACTTCAAAATCCGATTAAGATAAGTTGAGTTATGGAGTTTAGAAGTTCAGCCTTGGGACATTTCTTAGTTTTTTTTTGAATTTCTGCAACATCTAACATCAAAAAAATTACAAAAAAATGTTGAAAAAATAAATTTTTAAATTTGAATGCAGATTTTTAGAGAGTTGCGCCACAAGCATTTAGAGGTATGCCACTTGAAAATCCGATTAAGATAAGTTGAGTTATGGAGTTTAGAAGTTCAGCCTTGGGACATTTCTTAGTTTTTTGGATTTCTGCAACATCTAACATCAAAAAAATTACAAAAAAATTTTGAAAAAATAAATTTTTAAATTTGAATGCAGATTTTTAGAGAGTTGCGCCACAAGCATTTAGAGGTATGCCACTTGAAAATCCGATTAAGATAAGTTGAGTTATGGAGTTTAGAAGTTCAGCCTTGGGACATTTCTTAGTTTTTTGGATTTCTGCAACATCTAACATCAAAAAAATTACAAAAAAATTTTGAAAAAATAAATTTTTAAATTTGAATGCAGGTTTTTAGAGAATTGCTCCAGAAACATTTAGAGGTATGCCACTTGAAAATCCGATTAAGATAAGTTGAGTTATGGAGTTTAGAAGTTCAGCCTTGGGACATTTCTTAGTTTTTTTGATTTCTGCAACATCTAACATCAAAAAAATTACAAAAAAATTTTGAAAAAATAAATTTTTAAATTTGAATGCAGATTTTTAGAGAGTTGCGCCAGAAACATTTAGAGACATGCCACTTCAAAATCCGATTAAGATAAGTTGAGTTATGGAGTTTAGAAGTTCAGCCTTGGGACATTTCTTAGTTTTTTTGAATTTCTGCAACATCTAACATCAAAAAAATTACAAAAAAATTTAAAAAAAAATAAATTTCTAAATTTGAATGCAGTCTTATAGAGAATTGCTCCAGAAACATTTAGAGGTATACCACTTCAAAATCCGATTAAGATATGTTGAATTATGGAGTTGAAGTATGGAGCCTTGGGACGCTTTGTGGGCGTTAGAGTGGGCGTGGCAAAAAGTTTTTTGGCAAATCTATATAAATTTAGAAAATATATAAAAAAAAGAAAAAATATCCCAACATTTTTCAAAAGTGTGGGCGTGACAGTTTTGTG